GTGTGGACCACCAGTACTTGTTCAAAACAATGAAAGCCTTTGGGTTTGGGGATGTTTTTTTTTGTCTTGGATGAGTTTACTGTATGTTGGGGCCTCATGTCTGGTGAAGGTGGGGGGTGGTTTGAGCTGCCCCGTCCCCGTCCAAAGGGGTACCAGGCAGGGGTGCCCAATTTCAGGACAGTTATATTGTCTGGCAATTGAACCAATGCTTTGTTTTTTTAAGAGCGAGGCTTACTGGTTTCTCTGTGCCAGGGGTTATGAAGGGTCCCACGATAGCACTGTCTGCGTATGCAGATGACGTGACAGTTTTTATTACAGGGGGTGAGGATGTTAAGGTTCTCTCAAACGCTTTAAAGGTGTATGAGGGAGCTTCCTCAGCTAGAGTCAAATGGGAAAAGAGTGAATCGCTGTGGGCAGGTCAGCTTCAGATAGGGTCGGCTCCATGGTTACCAGGGGGGCTTCAGTGGGGCAGAGATGGAATTTTTATTTTTATTTTTTTATGGCTCCGATGTCTTTCAAAAAAAGAACTGGGAGGGTGTAGTGGAGAAGGTGTGTGCCAGATTGTCTAGGTGGAAATGGGTGCTACCCCAGCTGTCTTATAGGGGAAGGGTGCTGGTTGCCAATAACCTAGCCGATACAGCCACCTTATACAAGAGCTTCAGAGGACCCTTGTCAATTTCTTCTGGTCTGGACAACATTGTATTAAAGCTGCAGCCTTGTAGCTGCCACTGCACGAGGGTGGGCAAGGCCTGGTGGACATTTCTTCTAGGATCATGGCTTTCCGGCTTCAAGCAGCCCTGAGACTGTTGTACAGTGACGGTTCTAGCTGGGTCGATGCAGCCTACACATTGATGAGGAGAGCGGGCTGTTTGGGCTTAAACAAGTACCTTTTCCTCTTAAAGCTAGAGGGGTGTGATTTGTCTGGCCTGACTCCATTCTATGAGTCTGTTATGCGGCTTGGAGAGTTTGTCATGTCCCGTAAGGCCAGCACGCCACCAGGGATGTGGCTTTTTGAAGAGCCTCTTTTTTTATAACACTATCCAGTCTCGTGCTATGGGTTCAGCCAGCCTAGGTTCATGCCTGTTAGGTGTGGGGTGCACCAAGCTGGGTCATATGATGCGGAGCAGGAGCAGATCGTTGGAGGAGCTGAGAGAAAGAGCGGGGATCAGATCATCTCACCTACTCAGGAAGGTCGTAGCTGAGGTCTGCGGTTCCTTGCCAGTACTTCATCAGCAGTATGTGACTGACACTTCCAATTCTGATCGGTGGACGGAGGGTCTGGATTATGTGTTCCCTGTGCTGAATGTTAGTGCTGCGGCGGGGGCATTAGAGGAGGACGTGGGGATGCTGCTATCCTTCGATACCCCGGAGCTGGGGGAGTTCAAGGCGGTGGGAAAGAAGGCCATGTACATAATATGTGTAAAAGTGTCCCGTGCTTCTTCCCTGGAAGGAGTAAAATCGACGAGGTGGGCGGGTGTGTCTCTTACTTAACTTAGTGTCAGAGGCAGCTAAATTAGCAATTTGGAAGACATGAAAGAACAGTATCCGGGGACAGGAGTCTGTGCATGTGGTGGGCATGCTGGAGGGGATTTTGGCAGCAAGACTGAGGGTTGAGTTTGCCTATTACATTGGGCTGTTTATGAGCAGATGGGGTATTCAGAGGTTGTTGTGTTTAGTTACTGTGGAGGAAGATTTGGTGTTGTGTTTTTAATTGATGTTTAACCATGTTTTTGTTTGTTTGAGTGTTTATTGTGTTGTGGGTTCGCAGACCCAATAAAGGTTTTTTAAAACTCAAACCCTCTCCCTCTCTCTCTCTCTCTCTTCCCCCCACTCTCTCTCCCCTCCTCTCTCGCTTCCCCCCTCTCCCCCCTCTCTCTCTTCCCACCCTCTCTCTCTCCCCCCTCTCTCTTCCCCCCCACTCTCTCTCTTCCCCCCCACTCTCTCTCTACCTCCCCCCTCTCTCTCTCACACTCTCTTCCTCCCCCTCTCTCTCCTCCTCTCCCATCCTCTCTTTCCCCCCCTCTCTCTCTCTCCCTCTATCCTCCTCCTGTCAAGGGACTCGTTAAGCTGTGTGTGAGTGAGTGCCTGAGTTCAGAGACACATCAGGAGCCATTTACACACACCATTACACACATCTATCACAATCACAAACCCTGACACACACACACATACACACACGCACACACACGCGCACACACACTTAGAGCTGAAACATAAGAGGACTGTCCCTACTGACAAGGGACAAGTACAAGGAGGTGAGAAATGGAGAGATGATTTTCTTGCTGGGGAACGTAACAAAATGGGGGCTCGTCCGGGACCTTGTTTCCCATGAGTATGGTAGTCACTCTAGTCACCTACTCTGAAGCTCTGCTGTGCCCAGATATTTGAGTGTTCAACATACACTTCTGTGGTAGAGTTTCTGTCACTGACATCCACCCAGCGGGGTTATAAGATTGGTGGAAGCATTTTGAAAGTTGCATAAACACACAGGCTAATAAAATAAACAAAAAACATGGATTTTAAGTTGGAAGCATTTATGGAAAACCCTACATGGGACATGCTAGATAAATGTACGAAGGCAAATCATTATGACATCAAAGTTGCACATGCCGATTCGAAGCAGTAGTCAAAGAGTTCGTTTAGGATGATGAAAAGGGGTCCTACGGGTGGTAGTGTACACCCCATAGACGTGCAACTGCAAGAGGTAGAACTAAAGGCAAAATGGGAACAACAGAAATTAGAGCTTGAGCACAAGGAAAAGGAACAGGAAAGTGAGCAGCCATTCGATTAAGAGATAGATCTGGAAGCACTCCGAATCCAGTCAGGCCATCCTGCAACCTCAACAGAGTTTGATCTTAGTCGGAACAGCCAACTTGTACCGCCTTTCAATGAAAAGGAGGTGGACGTATATTTTACTCTGTTTGAGCGGATTGCCACATCCCTAAAATGGCCGCGAGACATTTGTGCTCCAGTGGGCTTGAGAGACGTGGAGTGTTAACACCTTTAGTTGTCTCTCCCTATCTGATTTCTAGAAAAACATTTATTTATCTGATTTCCCTGTTTTCATTTTGCTCCACTGTGTGGTTTGCTTCCTGTCTTTCAGTTTGGTTTGGGTTTTTCTTCTGTTTGCCTCTTCTTGGGCAGATTTAGTGGGCGCTCATGGTGGGTGTCTTTTAGGTCCCAGTTGTTGTTGCTAGTCAACTTTCAGTGGACACCCCCATGAGTGTCTTTCAGAACCCCTCCTAAAACCCCACCTGTTTCGTTTGGTTGTTGTCAGTGACTCCTTCTGTTTGAGCGACAATTTTTTGTTTTCTTGCTGGGGAACGTAACAAATCAAAGTTTATTGGTTGCGTACACAGTTTAGCAGAGGTTATAGCGGGTGCAGCCAAATACTTATGTTACTAGCTCCTAACAATGCAGTAAACTGTCAAACGAGTACACAAACAATCAATGTATTATTATTTTTTACCCAAATAGTAACAGTAATCCAAATGCAATATATATGTATATACACCGGAAGACATACTAAGAATGATATGTACAGCAGTAGATATACTAAGAATGATATGTACAGCAGTAGATATACTAGGAATGATATGTACAGCAGTAGATATACTAGGAATGATATGTACAGCAGTAGATATACTAAGAATGATATGTACAGCAGTAGATATACAAATAGTGATATGTACAGAAGTAGATATACTAGGAATTATATGTACAGCAGTAGATATATTAGGAATTATATGTACAGCAGTAGATATATTAGAGACAGCTATGTCAAGAATCCAGTATATAAATAAATATGCGGTGTGTATAAACAGTGTAACTAAAAAAAGGGGAGAGAGACAGAAAAGGTGTTTGATAGGGACAGTATTTGAAGAGTAACGTCATTAATCTCACTGAAGTGCTAAATTACTATCTGGCCATTACTATCTGGCCTGCTACTCATCGCTCATGTTGTGTGTGTGGTGTGTGTGTGCATGTGGTGTGTGTGGGTTTCAAGAGCGGTAGAGGTAAACCCTGCCCCATTAAACCTTCCTCCCTCTCTCCCTTCCTTCCCTCTTCTACTCCTCCGCTCCCTCCCCCTCTCCTACCTCCCTGACGTCTCCTCTTCCTCTCTTCTCTCACAGATCCCCTTTCCTTCCTTAGGGAAGACATTTTTTCCCCTCCACTTGATCCCATTGATTTCTGTCCAGTTCAAGGATGAGTCACTTTCTCCTTTTTCTTTCTTTCTTTATCTCATTTTGTTCTCCTACTGTTTCTCTCTCTCTATATATATCATTTTGTTCTCCTACTGTTTCTCTTCTCTTTCTCTCTCTTACCCTTTTCTCTCTCTCTCTCTCTCTCTCTCTCATCATCCCCCTTTCTCTGTTGTCTTGTTGATTGCTTGTTATTCTATGTTTTGTCTTTTCCAAGACAAGCAGGAAACCAGAATAGAATCCAGAGTTGATCCAAAAATCAGTTTATTATAAAATATCAGACATGTTGTATTACAGATCTGTTGTCCTGCAGAATGATATTACTACCATCAGTTTATAGCACTACTAGCAAGAGCAAACACACACGCATAAACTCTCACTCACTCACTCACACACACACACACACACACACACACACACACACACCTTGCAGTATCTGTACCTCCCTGTAGATATGTCTCTAATATGGTGTATGATTGCGTATAATTCTAATCACTATTCGCACGCACGCACGCACGCACGCACGCACGCACGCACGCACGCACGCACACACACACACACACACACACACACACACACACACACACACACACACACACACACACACACACACACACACACACACACACACACACACACACACACAGAGCATTATTTTCATCTTAACATCTTCTGTTTGTCACACACCATTAAACACTATACTGTATACGGTCCTTATCAACACATATATACTTGTATTCCATGTATTATTAACATCACAATAGTACATTATCTACAACACAACATTATTATCATACTTTACATTGACACGTTATATCCGTGCAGGACACTACATATGGACTCAGTGTTGAAGTCATGCTACAGATACACCAGAATGTATGGTTTTATATCCCTGATCATAGCAGATCATCAACTGTAAAAGCAGGAGCAATTACAGCAGGTATTTACACACACCTCCCATCCAACGGCCACTCCCCTCCTGACCTCCAACGTTTGACCCCTGCCCCCCTGCCAGCACACAGGCCAGCATCAGCCAGTTTACTGTTACCACGGTGACCTGACCTCAGACCCTTGATCTCGGAGACAGCGGGAAGCAGGGAATTGCTGGAGAGTCCAAGTGGAGAGTGAGTGGAAGAGTGAGTGATACAAATCTATCCTGTCCTTGTGTCTGAGCATGTCTGCGTGTGTGCTTGTGTGATTTGCACTGCTATATTTATCTCTGACTGAGTGTGTCTCCGGCTGGTGACAAATTCATGCCCCCCAAATGACCTGCCAGAAATACCAACACACACACACACACACACACACACACACACACACACACTGAGAGCTGAAATGACAGCAACATAAATAATCCTTAGATATCCAAACAATAAATATTCATACCTCATATTTTTGACCCTGTGAGCGACTATGTAATACTAACAATGATATATCTAAATAAATAACTATATAACATGACAATATAATAACTTAACTACTGAGCATGCAGTTCTGTGCTTGTCTATTGTTTCCCTTCTGTTCTATTACCTCTATTTCTATGTCTGGCCCACAGTCAGCTAACGTTACTGGCTTCACCTGCCTGTCAGAGTTCTCTAGTATACAGCTGGGCTGGTCTGTAGCTTTAGGTCTATGGTTAAAGGTCTGTAATTATAGGGACATGTCTGTAGTTTCTGGTCTATAGCTTTAGGTCTGTAGGGTTAAAGGTCAGTAGTCCTGGAGTCTGTCTCAGCCTACTTTCCCATAAGAGTCCAGGAGCAGGGTGCTTGCCTGTTCTAGGTTCCACTGGCAACGCTCTAGAACCTCCTGGCACTCTGATCTAGAATGCAGACCCAGGCGGAACAACTGTTCTACCTAGAACAGAGAGAGAGAGATGTTAGAGAGGTATCTTAGAGAGAGAGAGAGATGTTAGAGAGAGAGAGATGTTAGAGAGATGTTAGAGAGAGATCTTAGAGAGAGAGAGATGTTAGAGAGAGATCTTAGAAAGAGAGAGAGATGTTAGAGAGAGAGAGATGTTAGAGAGAGATCTTAGAAAGAGAGAGAGATGTTAGAGAGAGATCTTAGAGAGATGTTAGAGAGAGATCTTAGAGAGAGAGAGATATTATTGTTACAACACTGTATATATACAGTGGGGAGAACAAGTATTTGATACACTGCCGATTTTGCAGGTTTTCCTACTTACAAAGCATGTAGAGGTCTGTAATTTTTATCATAGGTACACTTCAACTGTGAGAGACGGAATCTAAAACAAAAATCCAGAAAATCACATTGTATGATTTTTAAGTAATTAATTAGCATTTTATTGCATGACATAAGTATTTGATCACCTACCAACCAGTAAGAATTCCGGCTCTCACAGATCTGTTCGTTTTTCTTTAAGCCCTCCTGTTCTCCACTCATTACCTATATTAACTGCACCTGTCCACACACTCAATCAAACAGACTCCAACCTCTCCACAATGGCCAAGACCAGAGAGCTGTGTAAGGACATCAGGGATACAATTGTAGACCTGCACAAGGCTGGGATCGGCTACAGGACAATAGGCAAGCAGCTTGGTGAGAAGGCAACAACTGTTGGCGCAATTATTAGAAAATGGAAGAAGTTCAAGATGACGGTCAATCACCCTTGGTCTGGGGCTCCATACAAGATCTCACCTCGTGGGGCATCAATGATCATGAGGAAGGTGAGGGATCAGCCCAGAACTACATGGCAGGACCTGGTCAATGACCTGAAGAGAGCTGGGACCACAGTCTCAAAGAAAACCATTAGTAACACACTACGCCGTCATGGATTAAAATCCTGCAGCGTACGCAAGGTCCCCCTGCTCAAGCCAGCGCATGTCCAGGCCCGTCTGAAGTTTGCCAATGACCATCTGGATGATCCAGAGGAGGAATGGGAGAAGGTCATGTGGTCTGATGAGACAAAAATAGAGCTTTTTGGTCTAAACTCCACTCGCCGTGTTTGGAGGAAGAAGAAGGATGAGTACAACCCCAAGAACACCATCCCAACCGTGAAGCATGGAGGTGGAAACATCATTCTTTGGGGATGCTTTTCTGCAAAGGGGACAGGACGACTGCACCGTGTTGAGGGGAGGATGGATGGGGCCATGTATCGCGAGATCTTGGCCAACAACCTCCTTCCCTCAGTAAGAGCATTGAAGATGGGTCGTGGCTGGGTCTTCCAGCATGACAACGACCCGAAACACATAGCCAGGGCAACTAAGGAGTGGCTCCGTAAGAAGCATCTCAAGGTCCTGGAGTGGCCTAGTCAGTCTCCAGACCTGAACCCAATAGAAAATCTTTGGAGGGAGCTGAAAGTCCGTATTGCCCAGCGACAGCCCCGAAACCTGAAGGATCTGGAGAAGGTCTGTATGGAGGAGTGGGCCAAAATCCCTGCTGCAGTGTGTGCAAACCTGGTCAAGACCTACAGCAAACGTATGATCTCTGTAATTGCAAACAAAGGTTTCTGTACCAAATATTAAGTTCGGCTTTTCTGATGTATCAAATACTTATGTCATGCAATAAAATGCAAATTAATTACTTAAAAATCATACAATGTGATTTTCTGGGTTTTTGTTTTAGATTCCGTCTCTCACAGTTGAAGTGTACCTATGATACAAATTACAGACCTCTACATGCTTTGTAAGTAGGAAAACCTGCAAAATAGGCAGTGTATCAAATACTTGTTCTCCCCACTGTACATAATATGACATTTGAAATGTCTTAATTTTTTTGGAACTTCTGAGTGTAATATTTACTGTCAATATTTATTGTTTATTTCACTTTTGATTACTATCTACTTCACTTGCTTTGGCAATGTTAAGATACGTTTCCCATGCCAATAAAGCCCTTAAATAGAAATGTAATTGAAATGTTAGAGAGAGATTTTAGCGAGAGAGAGATGTTAGAGAGAGATCTTAGAGAGAGAGAGATGTTAGAGAGAAATCTTAGAGAGATGTTAGAGAGAGAGAGACAGAGAGAGATGTTAGAGAGAGAGATATTAGAGAGAGATGTTAGAGCGAGATTTTAGAGAAAGATCTTAGAGAGAGAGATGTTAGAGAGAGATCATACAGAGATGTTAGAGAGAGAGAGACAGAGAGAGATCTTAGAGAGAGAGAGATGTTAGAGAGAGATGTTAGAGAGAGAGATGTTAGAGAGAGATCTTAGAGAGAGAGATCTTAGAGAGATGTTAGAGAGAAAGATAGATGTTAGAGAGAGATGTTAGAAGAGATGTTAGAGAGATGTTAGAGAGAGAGTGTGTGTGCGTGTACCTTTAGTTGGCATATTGCCTGAGGGATGTTCCAGCTGTGAGTCTCCAGAGCCACTTCACACTCCTCTGCTGTCACACCATGCACTGCCACCTGCACCTACACGCACACACACACACACGCACTGTTTTAGGATCTCATAGGTTCAGAAGTCTTGCGACTTCAAAAAGCATTTAAATGCATTTCTGACATGATAAACAGATAAACACAAAGAGCACTTGAATGCAGCCTCATTCTACACTGCTTGTTCTGAACATCTCTAACCTGAATGAGGCTGTTCTCCCGTTGACTGCTGGGAGCTGTAGTTAAATGCTGAGTCCTGTGGTTGTTGTTGTTGAAAGAGGTGTTAGGCCTGGCCCCACCCCCGCCAGGTTGCTGTTGCATCATGGGTCGGACGGTGGCCATTTTGGCGGCTCCATATCTCTCCAGGTAGGCGGGGCGTTCAGAACTCAGAGAGCTGTCAATAAGCATTGACAGGCCACGCCCCTCAGAGAGGGGATCCAATGAGGCGCTGGGGGGAGGGGTAGCAGTGAGCCTGGAGGAATAGAGGGAGGAGGAGGGAGGAGAGGAAGAGGGGGAGGAGACTAGAGAGCCGAGAGGACCAACAACACCATACAGCCCTGTCCTCTGACGAGGGGAGACAGAGAGGGGAGGGGGGGGGAGACAAAGGGGGGAGGAGGAGGGAGGGGAGGGCTGAGAGAAGGCGTGGTCTCTGGGAGGGATCTGAGGGGGCGTGTCTTCCCTCTCACCTAGGGAAACGTGTTTGGAGGAGCGGAGGGGTGGGATGGGGGAGCGTGGAGGTAGCATGGGTCTGTCCTCATAGGAAGAAGAGGAGGAGGGGGGAGGAAGGTAGATCTGTCTGTGAGGGGCCGGCGGGGCCAGGGAGAGGGGGAGGGGGGAGGAGGGGAGGGAACGGCCGGCTGTCATGGGAACACGCAGTTTCACCATCACCTGCAGGTCAGCAGGAAGAGAAAAAATCTACTTTAAAACGCCAAACTCAAATTACAAACCTGTGGTGTGTGTGTGTGTGTTTATGTGTTTCGTACCTCTCTCTGCAGCTCCTTGAACAGATCAGCTGACTGTGTTAAGCCCCTCCCCTCTGCCAAAATCCCCTCAGACAATCCAGTGATGGATCGAACCTCCTGGTCTACCAATTGGCCCTCAGCCTCCGTTGCAACCTCGTCATAGGCAGGAAGAGGGAGGGGCCAGTCCAGGATGGAAGGAAGGTCCTGGAGGGAGAGAGAAGAGAAGACTGTTATTTTGCCCACGGAGTGTGTGTGTGTGTGTGTGTGTGTGTGTGTGTGTGTGTGTGTGTGTGTGTGTGTGTACCTGGAGTGTGTCCTGGTCAGGTAGGCGTGTCTCAGTGAGAGGGGAGGGCGTGGCCGAGCTAAAGCTGTCATCGGTGAAGTCGATGAGCGAGACCTCGCTTTTGGCTGACCTTACACCTGGCCCCTCCCACGGGCGGAGTTGGAGGCCCAGCCTCTTCAACCCCGATGAAGCACCTTCATATTCATTATCATCATCTAACACAGAGTCATAGAATGGCTCTACACACACACACACACACACACACACACACACACACACACACAGAAACACTGTCATCATTATCAGCAATCAGACAGCTCAACATATACAGGTAAATAAACACCCAGCGTGGGAGACATACTCACTCTTGATCAAGACAGCAGGCTGGGGAGGACGAGGAGGAGGCTGCTCTGATGGACAGAAAGAGAAAGAGGGAGAGAGTTCAGGAATTAATACAAAAAATAATGAGGTAGTTAGATATTGTAAGGAGAGAATAAATGTGTGTTTGTGTGTGTAGCCTACTCACTCTTGGTGCGGTTGGGTAGTTTGGTGGGCCGGGCAGTGGAAGGATCCATTCCCATAACATCAGGGGGGTCCATGGGGTTTCCCAAGTACAAGCTGAGGGGGGTAGAGGCCAGGGATGTAGTGCAGCGTAAACACAATACTTCAAATTGTCTTTATAAAACTTACATGACATGCAGTTTGCACTTTGGGTACTTTTCCAATTGGTCTCATTGGGCCTGACATCTAAAGAACAAGAGCAGTACTGACAGGGCTCTGCTGCACTCTAGTGGTCAGGCACTGTACTTGCAGGTAACAGCCATTTGTGTGTGTGTACCTGTCTATGTGTGTGTGTGTGTGTACCTGTCTATGTGTGTGTGTGTGTACCTGTCTGTGTGTGTGTGTGTGTGTGTGTGTGTGTGTGTGTGTGTGTGAGTGTGTGTGTGTACCTGTCTATGCGGTCAGCGTGCCCCCAGCTCCTATGTGGGTCAGTGTCTCCGTGTCCAGTGTGGATGAAGGAGTGTGTGAGTGGTCTGCTGATGTCTTGGGCAGACAGGCCGCTGACCGCCGTGACCACGTGGCGAGGAAATTGTCCCACACGCAATGTCCTCCTGTTCTGACCTCTCCACCAATAGAGCTCTGCTCTGGAGACACAGAGACACATGGACACACACTGATATGATTCCCTATTCCACATTACAGAGAAGCACGTCTGTTCTACAAATGATATAGCTATCCGACTTTCAGAAACATGACTCATTCCTCCCTCACCCACACACAATCACCCACTGACCTGCCCTCAATGATGGTGATGATGTCATTCATGGTGATCTGAAGTTTGTCCGGTTCCTCAAAGTCCTGCAGCGCTCTCATGTCTGTAGGCATGGTCTACACACAAACACACACACACACACAAACAATCATTATTGCCACTAGGTGGGCAACTTCGGTCTTGCAACCACTCACGTAGCTACAGTGCCCTCTGCTGGACACTTGGTGAACCATGCCATAAATGTGTCCCTACTTCCAGAAGAAAGTCTCTGAGGGCCGTGAATGTTGGTCTGTCATCAGGCTGAGGGCTCCAGGTCTGCAGCATCACGTTGTAAACATCCTGGGGACAGTCATCTGGCTTCACCAGCCTCTCCCCCTCCACATCCACCTTATGGAGGATCTACACACAGAAACACACACACACAGAAACACACACACACAAACTTATCAAGCACTACCGTCAAACACAGATTGTGTGTGAGTGTGTCTGTGTGTTCATACCTGGCTGCCATTAAGTCCTAGCCATGGCTCCTGTCCGTGTGTAAACATCTCCCACAGAGTGACTCCAAACATCCAGGTGTCTGAAGCATGAGAGAAACTCCTGCTCCTCAACGACTCTGGAGCGCACCTAGAGAGAGAGCGAGAGAGAGAGAGAGAGAGAGAGAGAGAGAGAGATGGGGGAGGAAGAAAGAGATCGTATTGTTTAGTACAGGATCATGCAGTGAGAACACACACACACTCACTCACACACTCACCAAGCGAAGGGCACCTTGTGGCTCTCTTCCATAACGTATGTATCCTGGTGTGATGGCAGCGCCCTCATCAGGCCAAAGTCACCGATCTTCACCGTCTCATTGGTCGACAGCAGGACGTTCCTTGCAGCCAGGTCTCTGTGGAGGAACCGCCTCTGTTCTAGATATGCCATGCCACACGCCACCTACATACAAACACACACACACACACACACTTAGCAGATGTGAACTAACTTGCTAGTGAGCGCTAGCTAATCATGCAGTAACATCACAGACCCCCCCCCCACACACACACGCACTGACCTGTACAGCGTAGCCACACAGAGAGGAGATGAGGATGTGTCCCTGTCGCTTCCTCAGACGATCCAACAGAGAACCAAGAGGAGCCAGCTCTGTCACCTATACACACACGTTAGAGATACATTAATTCATACAACGTATTTAATGAGTATGTGTGTGTGTGTGTGTGTGTGTGTGTGTGTGACTCACCATCTTCATGGGGTGAGTCAGCACCACTCCGTAGAGTCGTATGAGGTTCTGGTGGTTGAGGGAGTGCATGGCGTTCACCTCTCTGATGAAATCATCCAAGCCCTCAGTGTCTAACACACTGTCTGTCTTCAGACACTTCACTGCTACTGACAGCTAGAGAGGGAAGGATGGAGGGAGGGGGAGGGAGAGAGAGGAGAGGAGAGAATGTTACATTGTGAACCAGCCGTCAGATGAAATCATCCACTAATATATTGTTGTTAAAATAGTTTTCTGTACTAAGATTAAATCTACTCTCTCTCTCTCTCTCTCTCTCTCTCTCTGTCTCTCTCTCTCTCTCTCTCTCTCACTCACTCACTCACTCACTCACTCACTCACTCACTCACTCACTCACTCACCACTTGTCCAGTCGGTCCGGTCCACTCTCCTCTCCTCACGACTCCGAAGGTTCCGTCTCCGAGTCGTTCACACAGCTGAAGCTCCGCCTCCCGGATCAGACAGGTCAGGGCTGCCCCCGACGACGGCCCATCGCTGGACGGGGTTAACCCTTAAAACACCAGGCGCAATAAGTGCAAGTATTCAGACCCCTTTACTTTTTCCACATTTTGTTACGTTACAGGCTTATTCTAAAATGGATTAAATGATTTTTTACCCTCATCAATCTACACACAACACCCAATAATGACAAAGTGAAAACAGGTTTTTAGAAATGTTTGCAAATGTATAAAAAATAAAAAACAGAAATACCTTATTTACATAAGTATTCAGACCCTTTGCTGAGACTCGAAATTGAGCTCAGGTGCATCCTGTTTCCATTGATCATCCTTGAGATGTTTCTACAACTTGATTGGAGTACACCTGTGGTAAATTCAATTGATTGGACATAATTTGGAAAGGCACACACCTGTCTATACAGTGAGGGAAAAAAGTATTTGATCCCCTGCTGATTTTGTACGTTTGCCCACTGACAAAGAAATGATCAGTCTATAATTTTAATGGTAAGTTTATTTGAACAGTGAGAGACAGAATAACAACAACAAAATCCAGAAAAACGCATGTCAAAAATGTTATAAATTGATTTGCATTTTAATGAGGGAAATAATTATTTGACCCCTCTGCAAAACATGATTTAGTACTTGGTGGCAATCACAGAGGTCAGACGTTTCTTGTAGTTGGCCACCAGGTTTGCACACATCTCAGGAGGGATTTTGTCCCACTCCTCTTTGCAGATCTTCTCCAAGTCATTAAGGTTTCGAGGCTGACGTTTGGCAACTGAACCTTCAGCTCCCCCACTGATTTTCTATGGGATTAAGGTCTGGAGACTGGCTAGGCCACTCCAGGACCTTAATGTGCTTCTTCTTGAGCCACTCCTTTGTTGCCTTGGCCGTGTGTTTTGGGTCATTGTCATGCTGGAATACCCATCCACGACCTATTTTCAATGCCCTGGCTGAGGGAAGGAGGTTGTCACCCAAGATTTGATGGTACATGACGCCGTCCATCGTCCTTTTGATGCAGTGAAGTTGTCCTGTCCCCTTAGCAGAAAAACACCCCCAAAGCATAATGTTTCCACCTCCATGTTTGATGGTGGGGATGGTGTTCTTGGGGTCATAGGCAGCATTCCTCCTCCTCCAAACACGGCGAGTTGAGTTGATGCCAAAGAGCTCGATTTTGGTCTCATCTGACCACAACAATTTCACCAAGTTCTCCTCTGAATCATTCAGATGTTCATTGGCAAACTTCAGACGGGCCTGTATATGTGCTTTCTTGAGCAGGGGGACCTTGCGGGCACTGCAGGATTTCAGTCCTTCACGGCGTAGTGTGTTACCAATTGTTTTCTTGGTGACTATGGTCCCAGCTGCCTTGAGATCATTGACAAGATCCTCCTGTGTAGTTCTGGGCTGATTCCTCACTGTTCTCATGATCATTGCAACTCCACGAGGTGAGATCTTGCATGGAGCCCCAGGCCGAGGGAGATTGACAGTTCTTTTGTGTTTCTTCCATTTGCGAATAATCGCACCAACTGTTGTCACCTTCTCAAAAAGCTGCTTGGCGATGGTCTTGTAGCCCATTCCAGCCTTGTGTAGGTCTACAATCTTGTCCCTGACATCCTTGGAGAGCTCTTTGGTCTTGGCCATGGTGGAGAGTTTGGAATCTGATTGATTGATTGCTTCTGTGGACAGGTGACTTTTATACAGGTAACAAACTGAGATTAGGAGCACTCCCTTTAAGAGTGTGCTCCTAATCTCAGCTCATTACCTGTATAAAAAACACCTGGGAGCCAGAAATCTTTCTGATTGAGAGGGGGTCAAATACTTATTTCCCTCATTAAAATGCAAATCAATTTATAACATTTTTGACATGCGTTTTTCTGGATGTTTTTGTTGTTATTCTGTCTCTCACTGTTCAAATAAACCTACCATTAAAATTATAGACTGATCATTTCTTTGTCAGTGGGCAAATGTACAAAATCAGCAGGGGATCAAATACTTTTTTCCCTCACTGTATATGGTCCCACAGTTGACAGTGCACGTCAGAGCAAAAATCAAGCCATGAGGTCGAATGAATAACCCATAATGACAAAGCAAAAACAGGTTTTAAGATTTTTTTGCAAATGTATTAAAAATATATATATATAAAATGTATTCAGACCCTTTACTCAGTACTTTGTTTAAGCACCTTCGGCAGCGATTACAGCCTCGAGTCTTCTTGGGTATGACGCTACAAGCTTGGCACACCTGTATTTGGGGAGTTTCTCCCATTCGTCTCTGCAGATCCTCTCAAGCTCTGTCAGGTTGGATGGGGAGCGTCGCTGCACACTTATTTTCAGGTCTCTCCAGAGATGCTTGATCGGGTTCAAGTCCGGGCTCTGGCTGGGCCACTCAAGGACATTCAGAGACTTGTCCCGAAGCCACTCCTGCGTTGTCTTGGCTGTGTGCTTAGGGTCATTGTCCTGGTGGAAGGTGAACCTTCGCCCCAGTGTGAGGTCCTGAGCGCTCTGGAGCAGGTTTTCATCAAGGATCTCTCTGTACTTTGCTCTGTTCATCTTTTCCTCGATCCTGACTAGTCTCCCAGTCCCTGCCGCTGAAAAACATCCCCACAGCATGATGCTGCCACCACCATGCTTCAACGTAGAGATGGTGCCAGGTTTCCTCCAGACGTGACGCTTGGCATTCAGGCCAAAGAGTTCAATCTTGGTTTCATCAGACCAGAGAATCTTGTTTCTCATGGTCTGAGAGTATTTAGGTGCCTTTTGGCAAACTCCAAGCGGACTGTTATGTGACTTTTACTGAGGAGTTGCTTCCGTCTGGCCACTCTACCATAAAGGCCTGATTGGTGGAGTGCTGCAGAGATGGTTGTCCTTCTGGAAGATTCTCCTATCTCCACAGAGGAACTCTGGAGCCATGTCAGAGAGACCATCGGGTTCTTGGTCACCTCCCTGACCAAGGACTTTCTCCCCCAATTGCTCAGTTTGGCCGGGCGGCCAGCTCTAGGAAGAGTCTTGGTGGTTCCAAACTTCTTCCATTTAAGAATGATGGAGGCCACTGTGTAATTGGGGACATTCAATACTGCAGACATTTTTTGGTACCCTTCCCCAGATCTGTGCCTCGACACAATCCTGTCTCGGAGCTCTACAGACAATTCCTTCGACCTCATGGCTTGGTTTTTGCTCTGACATGCACTGTCAACTTTGGGACCTTATATAGACAGGTGTGCGCCTTTCCAAATCATGTCCAATCAATTGAATTTACCACAGGTGGACTCCAATCAAGTTGTAGAAACATCTCAAGGATGATCAATGGAAACAGGATGCACCTGAACTACATTTCGAGTCACATAGCAAAGGGTCTGAATACTTATGTAAATAAGGTTATGTTTTTTATTTTTTATACATTTGCAAACATTTATAAAAACCTGTTTTCGCTTTGTCATTATGTGGTATTGTGTGTAGCTTGATGAGGAAAACATGTATTTAATCATTTTTAGAACAAGGCTGTAATGTAACAAAGTGGAAAAAGTCAAGGGGTCTGAATACTTTCCGAATGCACTGTATGTGAGTTAACATTATCCAATTACAACTCCTTAAAACAGTACTGTTTATAGGTCACTTATAAACATGAGTAGGTCAGAATCATCTCAATTATAAACCTGGAGTTGGGATAACGTAAAGAATATGTCAAACATCCACACACACCTGGAGTAGTCAAGGTGGGCGACGCCCCCCGGGGCTGCTGGGGGTCGGAGTCAGAGTCGGGTCTTTTCCCTGGAAACACCTGCTGGCCCAAATACAGAGACTACAGCTTAGAGTGACTCTACCACGTACACACACACACATGCACAAAAAATGCATGCACGCACACACACAACCATGCACACACACACTCAGCCATGCATGCATGCACAAACGCCTGCAAGCGCACGCGCACACACACACACACACAGCTAAAAGGGATTCAAACTCACTGTGTGCTGTACCTTGCTCATCCAGGACTTGCGTTTATAGAGAGCTCTCCTCCTCTTGACTGCCTCCCAAAGCCTCCTCTGTCCTACAACACACACAGAATACAATCGTGGTCAAAAGTTTTGAGAATGACACAAGTATTGGTCTTCACAAAGTTCGCTGCTTCAGTGTTATGAGATATTTTTGTCAGATGTTACTATGGTATACTGAAGTATAATTACAAGCATTCCATAAGTGTCAAAGGCTTTTATTGACAATTACATTAAGTTTATGCAAAGAGTCAATATTTGCAGTGTTGACCCTTCTTTTTCAAGACCTCTGCAATCCGCCCTGGCATGCTGTCAATTAACTTCTGGGCCACATCCTGACTGATGGCAGCCCATTCTTGCATAATCAATGCTTGGAGTTTGTCAGAATTTGTGGGGTTTTGTTTGTCCACCCGCCTCTTGAGGATTGGCCACAAGTTCTCAATGGGATTAAGGTCTGGGGAGTTTCCTGGCCATGGACCCAAAATGTCGATGTTTTGTTCACCGAGCCACTTAGTTATCACTTTTGCCTTATGGCAAGGTGCTCCATCATGCTGGAAAAGGCATTGGTCGTCACCAAACTATACTTGGATGGTTGGGAGAAGTTGCTCTCGGAGGATGTGTTGGTACCATTCTTTATTCATGGATGTGTTCTTAGGCAAAATTGTGAGTGAGCCCACTCCCTTGGCTGAGAAGCAACCCCACACATGAATGGTCTCAGGATGCTTTACTGTTGGCATGACACAGGACTGATGGTAGCGTTCACCTTGTCTTCTCCGGACAAGGTGTTTTCCGGATGCCCCAAACAATCGGAAAGGGGATTCATCAGAGAAAATGACTTTACCCCAGTCCTCAGCAGTCCAATCCCTGTACCTTTTGCAGAATATCAGTCTGTCCCTGATGTTTTTCCTGGAGAGAAGTGGCTTCTTTGCTGCCATTCTTGACACCAGGCCATCCTCCAAAAGTCTTTGCCTCACTGTGCGTGCAGATGCACTCACACCTGCCTGCTGCCATTCCTGAGCAAGCTCTGAACTGGTGGTGCCCCGATCCCGCAGCTGAATCAACTTTAGGAGACGGTCCTGGCGCTTGCTGGACTTTCTTGGGCGCCCTGATGCCTTCTTCACAACAATTGAACCTCTCTCCTTGAAGTTCTTGATGATCCAGTAAATGGTTGATTTAGGTGCAATCTTACTAGCAGCAATATCCTTGCCTGTGAAGCCCTTTTTGTGCAAAGCAATGATGACGGCACGTGTTTCCTTGCAGGTAACCATGGTTAACAGAGGAAGAACAATGATTTCAAGCACCACCCTCCTTTTAAAGCTTCCAGTCTGTTATTCTAAATCAATCAGCATGACAGAGTGATCTCCAGCCTTGTCCTCGTCAACACTCTCACGGCTGGTCCTTTTGTGGCAGTGCTGAAATGCAGTGGAAATGTTTTTTGGGGATTAAGTTCATTTTCATGGCAAAGAGGGACTTTGCAAATAATTGCAATTCATCTGATCACTTTTCATGACATTCTGGAGTATATGCAAATTGCCATCATCAAAACTGAGGAAGCAGACTTTGTGAAAATTAGTATTTGTGTCATTCTCAAAACTTTCGACCACGACTGTACATTACACATACGGTCAGCCTACCTCTGACAAACTGCAACCCCATCCCCTATGTATGTGAGATCTTGGATTGCTACAGGACAAAGAGATTAGGGAGGAGAGTCAGGAAGGTGTGACTGTGATATGACCACCTTGTGACTGTGATATGACCACGTTGTGATTGTGATATGACCACGTTGTGACTGTGATATGACCACGTTGTGACTGTGATATGACCACGTTGTGACTGTGATATGACCACGTTGTGACTGTGATATGACCACGTTGTGACTGTGATATGACCACCTTGTGACTGTAATATGACCACGTTGTGACTGTGATATGACCACGTTGTGACTGTGATATGACCACGTTGTGACTGTGATATGACCACCTTGTGACTGTGATATGACCACGTTGTGACTGTAATATGACCACGTTGTGACTGTAATATGACCACGTTGTGACTGTGATATGACCACGTTGTGACTGTAATATGACCACGTTGTGACTGTGATATGACCACGTTGTGACTGTGATATGACCACGTTGTGACTGTAATATGACCACGTTGTGACTGTGATATGACCACGTTGTGATTGTGATATGACCACGTTGTGACTGTGATATGACCACGTTGTGACTGTGATATGACTACGTTGTGACTGTGATATACCCACGTTGTGACTGTGATATGACCACGTTGTGACTGTGATATGACCACATTGTGACTGTGATATACCCACGTTGTGACTGTGATATACCCACGTTGTGACTGTGATATACCCACGTTGTGACTGTGATTGTGACCGTTTCTAGAGGAATAGACCTGGTAAATCCACTACTATAGCTTTCCTTGATATTTTTAATATTTTAAAATATGATATACTTCACACACCTGGCCTTCCCATGCCGATCTTCTCCAGGTCTTCATTCTTAACGTAGTCGAAGTGTGACAGGCGCGTCACGTTCAGCTCGTCACGGATACGCAGGAAGTACTGCTGCAGCTGAACGTCTGTTAACAGATCTACCAACCACTCTGTCCCCTCCTCCGTCATCTACACACACACACACCCACACAAACGTGCACACACCCACACACACAGTCAATATACTAACAACAACATCAACCAGTGTCTAACACAGTATATAAAATACTTTACCATCTGTTCTCCCCCTCTCTCCTTCGTTACTCTCTCCTTCCTCTCTTCCTTCTTTGCCTCCCCCTCTTCTTCTATCTCGTAGGACAGACGCTGGTACATAGAGTTCTCTACCTTGGCTGCTGCTCACCCCACACTCGTCCTCCAATCTCCCCTCACCCTCCTTCCCTCTCTCAATACTCTATGGGTTTTGTCCTGGTTTTTCAGCCGTGTGTGTATGTGTTAAAGCAGTGGTAAGTCTAAGGTCACTCTGCTGCAAGTCTGCCCAGTGTTGATCTCCCCTCAACAACCTCACGACCTTCTGCCTAATCAATACACACACACACACATCCACAAACACACCCAGGCGCTCGCATACACACACACACCAGGAGACATCTGACACCACTCTATGCTCTCTCCATCAGCCAAGCTAAGCTGTCTATAAACTGTCCCTTTCCATCTATGCTGACTCACCACTACGCACATCACAGGACACTTCCTCCCTAACCTCTCTATTCCGCTCTCACTCTGACTCTCAACATCCTCTGTCTACTGTTGAATAATTAAACATCCCCGGAGAGAGAGGGAGATAGAAACAGTGCTTTCTATCGGTCTCTGTTTTTATTGAGGGCACTCTGAGTCTGAATATGGAAAGCTAAATATAGCCTGTATTCCCTGATTCCTTCTCTCTCGCTCTGCATTATAAAACAGCACTGCAGTGCAGACTACTGTTGCTTTAGGGAGAATACCGTACATAACAAGCCTACACTAACCCTCCTCCCTCTCTTTCCTAGTAAACAGTTGCTCTTGTTGAAGACGCACACGACAATAGGCTAAGAGATATGCGCATTTAATCCGTTTTTATAACTAATCTACTGAAATGTTAAATAGGACATGTCGCATCACTGATCCATACACTGACTAGCCTATTAACGGTAACCTCATTAGAGGCAGAGATCCAAATCAAGATAACGGTATAGGTCATGCAGACGCTCATCGAGAGAGATAGAAAGAGAGATGGGGAGAGAAAGTCAGACTCCCTATTTCCTCCACCTCGCAAAAACTCGCCTTAATCAATTGTTGTTTTCAGAAACCTTCATTTTCACTTGGTAAAATAAGCATTCGGTTGTTTTCTGTCTGTTCCCTCTCTTCTCCTGTAATTCCTGGTCGCGTGTTGCTCGGATTACTGTCGTGGCGTCACCACGTTTTGCGCACGTAGAGACGGTAAATTCCAGGCCGCCAACATTGCATTGCAACGTTGCATGATCGATTAGGTAGGGATAAACTATCGGTGATTTTTGAAAGTTAGCTTCCAACGACGATCAATTAACAATAATCACACAAACAGTCTAGTGCGTTAAGCCAAAGGGTTTATTGAAGCACAACAGAAAAACTGAACAACTCATCAACGGTACAGAAACCTCTAAACACCCATACACTGTCCTCTACAGCATGATAATACACCAAGTGAGTGGGAGAAAAGTCAGGTGAATATGTACGAGTTCAGACTAGCACTGACAAGCTCCACTAGTTAGCTGATCGACTGAGTGTGATCAATAATCAAAAGAGAAAAATCATTATTTAGTGGACAGCTACAACAGGAGTTTCAGTGTCTGATAATTAATTCATGGGAAAATACGTAGGAAGAGACTCATATTGACCTGAATGGGAATGTCTGTTGTAGGGATTGCATTTGTAAGGGAAAATACAGTAAAATGCTGTAGGACGTTTCCATTACAACCCATTCAGAGGGTAACAATAGGTCAGTAGTACGTCACACACAGATCAGATATACTAATCTAACACAAAGAGAGAAGAAAAAAATATACACGGATATAAAACTCTGGGAAACACTGTTCCCGATAAGTTACTTCACCCTTCAGTGAAATATGGGAGTCACTGCCCCCGATACAAACACGCACACACACTGGTAGGCAAAAACTACCATCAACGCTTGTCATTATGGAAGACACTGCTCCCGATAATGGTTCAAATCAGAAATATAAACTGCTCCAAAATAAGACTGGTTAACAGAAATGACTATTTCGCTGCCTGAATGATATTATTTTAGGATATAAAGCTCAGATATAAACTATATAAAGCTACTTTTATAAGTTCAGCTCAGAGAGGCGAGATTTGAGCATGTTTTTTTTTTTTAGCCCTTGCTGCATCTGAAATTACACCCTAATACCTATATACTGCACTAGAGCCATTTAACCCTCCCGTTGTCCTAGGGTCAAAATGACCCGCCACTGTGTTGAACCAACTTTATTTAATTTTTATATTTTTTGGATCATTTGTGAGAAGGAGGCAGTGATACTGTCTTTAAAGTCTCACTGCCTCCTTTTCACAAATGATCCCAAAAATATAAAAATTAAATAAAGTTGGTTAAACACAGTGGCGGGTCATTTTGACCCTAGGACAACGGGAGGGTTAAGGCTATATATAAAATAGTGTGTAATTTCAGCCGTGATCCAAGTAGCTACCTCCCCTACATGTCTAAAACATGCTAAGAATGAGTAAATTCACCATGGAATTTAAGTACATGCATTTCATCAAGTCAAAATGTGACAGTCATGACTACAGCCGCCATCGGGTACCAGGTTTCTGTGGTGATACCCAGTTTCTGCGGGGTTCTGTTTCCATAGTAATGTGTGGTAGCAGTAGGTGGTGTATTTCTGTTAACAGAGTCATGTATACAGAGGAAGTCTGACCATCTGTAGCTGGACAGTTTTTCATCCGTGTCAAAACGATTCTGTGTCTGCCTCAATTCTGTTCCCCCATTAGATTCTGTTCTCACTTAAACTGCAAGGCAAACTGAAAAGCAATATTTAAACCAAATGTCATGGGATCTTGGATGGTCACACTGTCTGTATACCTAACTCTGTTGCTTCAGCAGATGCTGCCGTAGTAGGAGACAGTATAACTGTCATAAGTATGGAAGACACTGCTCCCGATAACTTTATCAAATTAACTGATAACTTTATCAAAAACCAAATGAAAATAACACATACCCGTTAAGTCTGGAAGGCACTGCTCCCGATAACTTTTTTTTATCAAAAACAAAACTAACGACATTTAAACATTTATAGTGTGCACTGGCACTGATAAATAAATAAACTCTTAACCCAAACTAACGACATGAAACTGCCATAAGTATGGAAGACACTGCTCCCGATAACTTTATCAAATTAACTGATAACTTTATCAAATTAACTGATAACTTTATCAAAAACCAAATGAAAATAACACATACCCGTCAAGTCTGGAAGGCACTGCTCCCGATAACGTTTTTTATCAAAAACAAAACTAACGACATTTAAACATTTATAGTGTGCACTGGCACTGATAAATAAATAAACTCTTAACCCAAACTAACGACATGAAACTGCCATAAGTCTGGAAGGCACTGCTTCCGATAACTTTATAAAAATAAACGAGAACTTTATCACCATTAAAACTGAGAACATTTATAGTGGACTTTGCCACTGATAAATATATAAAGTATAAATAGGCTCCTCTGTGTCGAGGAGTTAGAGGTCGTCTCTATGGTAACAGCCAAGGCTTCAGTTTGGGGGTTGGAGTGAGATGAGGAGGGATCAGACAGTGATGTCATCAATCTCAACATTCTTTAGGAAGTCTAGTAACTGAAACTGGAAGGAATGACAGTACTTCCTGGACTCTTATGACATCATCAGCCCTGACCAATCCCTCTTCATCTCATCCTGGATTTTATAGTGAACGAGGACGAGGTTGAACCCCGACCAGCCCTGCGCGCACACACACACAGTTAGATCTGGTTGTCGATGTCCCAGATGTCTCCAGAGAGAGCATTGGCACAGCCCTGCAGTGTCCAGGTGGCCAGGGCCAGCTGGGTCCGCAGCGCCTCTCTGTCCTCCCCCTCCAACAGGGCTGCCAGGGTGTGGGAACCACAGCCATACAGCAGGTGGCGGAATGGAACCTCCTTGGGGGAGACATACGGAGAAAGGAGGTTGTGCTCCACCTTGGGGGAGAGAGGAGAATCCAATGTTAGTTTATGAATCAAGACAGAACCACTACTGATTGACTTGTGTTCACTATAAAACTGGAGCCCTATGACACTGATCTGTTAGATTACAAGGGTGTGTGTTTGTGTGTGTCTCACCCTCATGATGCGGTCGTTGATGTCGTGGCAGGCCAGTGTGTCAGTGAGATCGGTGTTGAGTATGTCAGTGTTGAGGTCAGCAGCAGCTCTACTGTAGGACCCCAAGGCCATGACAAGCCAACGGGCTGACAGACCCTCGGCAGAACCATCCTGTAACAGCACAATAACATTATAATTATACCTAACGTTACACCCAATAACAATATAAACAACAATGTAAACTAAAACAATCATGTATTTTATTTATTTATTTATTTATCATATCATTTTATATATCATGTCATATAAACAAACCCGGGTGGCTTGTTTGAGGCGCTGGTTGATCTTGACCACCGACTGCCTGAGAACATTCTTGTAGCGTTGCACGTCCAGACGCAGCACGTGGTCGTGGACCAATCGTAACGCCAGCTGACCTGCGACCAATCCCGCCCCAGTGGCTAGGGAACTAAGGCGATGGGCGGTGGCGTAACCAAGGTGATCCTTGTTGTCAAGAGAGGTGCCGTAGTACGGGTAGGCCTCAGACTGCACCACCGCGCACACACACACACACACACACACACACACACGGGAGACAGAGACAGACTATTCTATTAGAGACAGTTATCGAAATCAAACTATTTGTAAACAAAACATCTAAGCCTGACAGAGAATCTGTGTGTGTGTGTGTGTGTGAATGTGTAAGAGTGTGTGTGTGTTAGTGTTTGTTAAAAAGTGTGTGTGTTTGTGTCTCACGCCCTGAGAGATGAAGCGGAAGGAGAGAGAGGGGATTCCAGAGAAGGCCAGGAAGGGATATGCAGAGTCTTCCATCTGCATGGGCTCAAACCTGATAAAACACACACGTCAAGTTAGAGTATGTTTACTGTACACACATATCATTGGCGTGATCTATCATTGGCGTGATCTATCATTGGAGTGATCTATCATTGGGGTGATCTATCATTGGAGTGCTAGGTGTGGTGTACTCACACTGCCTCCTCAAAGTTGACTCCAGACACCTTTTCATACAGAGACTTCCCAGACTCGCCGACACCAATGGGATTCTTCACCTCCTTCATAGTGCTTTCCAGAAGGCTGTAGAGCAGGGGACTGGCAGACGCTTTAAAATCACCATGGCCTGAAGATCACACACCCACACCATTAGATTAGAAGGATACTTTGTATGAAGTATTTTTGTGGTTGTATGCGTATGCGTACTCACCAGTGACAACTCCGTCCAGACTGATGTAGGTGAAAGCTCTTCTGTCCAGAGAGGAGAGGTAACCCTGGAGAGGAACACACACGACATTACATACAACACCCTGCTAGTTTAGAGGCTGGTCTAATCAGCGCCTTCCAGCAACATATTATTATCACCAAATTCCATTAGCTAAAACACTGCCATATCATGAATACTTTCCACCCAGAGTGTGTGTTGAACTGTAAGGTGTGTATGTGTGTGTGTGTGTTGAACTGTAAGGTGTGTATGTGTGTGTGTGTGTGTGTTGAACTGTAAGGTGTGTGTGTGTGTGTGTGTGTTGAACTGTAAGGTGTGTGTGTGTGTGTGTTGAACTATAACGTGTGTGTGTGTGTGTGTGTGTGTGTGTGTTGAACTATAACGTGTGTGTGTGTGTGTGTTGAACTGTAAGGTGTGTGTGTGTGTGTGTTGAACTGTAAGGTGTGTGTGTGTGTGTGTGTGTGTGTGTGTTGAACTGTAAGGTGTGTGTGTGTGTGTGTGTGTGTGTGTGTGTGTGTGTGTGTTGAACTGTAAGGGGTGTGTGTGTGTGTGTGTGTGTGTTGAACTGTAAGGTGTGTGTGTGTTGAACTGTAAGGTGTGTGTGTGTTGAACTGTAAGGTGTGTGTGTGTGTTGAACTGTAAGGTGTGTGTGTTGAACTGTAAGGTGTGTGTGTGTGTGTGTTGAACTGTAAGGTGTGTGTGTGTGTGTGTGTGTGTGTGTTGAACTGTAAGGTGTGTGTGTGTGTGTGTTGAACTGTAAGGTGTGTGTGTGTGTGTGTTGAACTGTAAGGTTTGTGTGGGTGTGTGTGTTGAACTGTAAGGTGTGTGTGGGTGTGTGTGTTGAACTGTAAGGTGTGTGTGGGTGTTGAACTGTAAGGTGTGTGTGTGTGTGTGTGTGTGTGTTGAACTGTAAGGTGTGTGTGTGTGTGTGTGTGTGTGTGTGTGTGTGTGTGTGTGTTGAACTGTAAGGTGTGTGTGTGTGTGTGTGTGTGGAACTGTAAGGTGTGTGTGTGTGTGTGTGTGTGTGTGTGTGTGTGTGTGTTGAACTGTAAGGTGTGTGTGTGTGTGTGTGTGTGTGTGTGTGGAACTGTAAGGTGTGTGTGTGTGTGTGTGTGTGTGTGTTGAACTGTAAGGTGTGTGTGTGTGTGTGTGTGTTGAACTGTAAGGTGTGTGTGTGTTGAACTGTAAGGTGTGTGTGTGTGTGTGTGTGTGTGTGGTTCTCACCTCCAGCCACTCTGTAGCTCCAACACTGCCGTACTCTCCTGCACTCAAACTGGCAAACACCAGACTCCTCCTGGGACGGAAACCATCTACACACACAGACACAGATGTCAGAATGTGTTAATGTATTGATGTGTGTTAATGTATTGATGTGTTTTTTCATGTATTGATGTGTGTTAATGTATTGATGTGTGTTAACGTATTGATGTGTGTATTGATGCGTGTTACCGTATTGATGTGTGTGTTAATGTATTGATGTGTGTGTTAATGTATTGATGTGTGTGTTAACGTATTGATGTGTGTTAACGTATTGATGCGTGTTAACGTATTGATGTGTGTGTTAACGTATTGATGCGTGTTAACGTATTGATGTGTGTTAACGTATTGATGTGTGTGTTAACGTATTGATGTGTGTGTTAATGTATTGATGTGTGTGTTAACGTATTGATGTGTGTTAACGTATTGATGTGTGTTAATGTATTGATGTGTGTTAACGTATTGATGTGTGTGTTAATGTATTGATGTGTGTTAACGTATTGATGTGTGTGTTAATGTATTGATGTGTGTTACCATATTGATGTGTGTGTTAACGTATTGATGTGTGTTAACGTATTGATGCATGTTAACGTATTGATGTGTGTGTTAACGTATTGATGTGTGTGTTAATGTATTGATGTGTGTTAACGTATTGATGTGTGTTACCATATTGATGTGTGTGTTAACGTATTGATGTGTGTTAACGTATTGATGCGTGTTAACGTATTGATGTGTGTGTTAACGTATTGATGTGTGTGTTAACGTATTGATGTGTGTGTTAACGTATTGATGTGTGTGTTAACGTATTGATGTGTGTGTTAACGTATTGATGTGTGTGTCAACGTATTGATGTGTGTGTTAACGTATTGATGTGTGTTAATGTATTGATGTGTGTATTGATGCGTGTTACCGTATTGATGTGTGTGTTAATGTATTGATGTGTGTGTTAACGTATTGATGTGTGTTAACGTATTGATGTGTGTTAACGTATTGATGTGTGTTAACGTATTGATGTGTGTGTTAACATATTGATGTGTGTGTTAACGTATTGATGTGTGTGTTAATGTATTGATGCGTGTGTTAATGTATTGATGCGTGTTAACGTATTGATGTGTTACCGTATTGATGTGTGTGTTAATGTATTGATGCGTGTGTTAATGTATTGATGCGTGTTAATGTATTGATGTGTTACCGTATTGATGTGTGTGTTAATGTATTGATGCGTGTTAATGTATTGATGTGTGTTACCGTATTGATGTGTTACCGTATTGATGTGTGTGTTAATGTATTGATGCGTGTTAATGTATTGATGTGTTACCGTATTGATGTGTGTGTTAATGTATTGATGTGTGTGTTAATGTATTGATGTGTGTTACCATATTGATGTGTGTGTTAACATATTGATGTGTGTGTTAACATATTGATGTGTGTGTTAACATATTGATGTGTGTGTTAACGTATTGATGTGTGTGTTAATGTATTGATGCGTGTTAATGTATTGATGTGTTACCGTATTGATGTGTGTGTTAATGTATTGATGTGTGTGTTAATGTATTGATGTGTGTTACCATATTGATGTGTGTGTTAACATATTGATGTGTGTGTTAACATATTGATGTGTGTGTTAACATATTGATGTGTGTGTTAACGTATTGATGTGTGTGTTAATGTATTGATGCGTGTTAATGTATTGATGCGTGTTACCGTATTGATGTGTGTGTTAACGTATTGATGTGTGTGTTAATGTATTGATGTGTGTTACCATATTGATGTGTGTGTTAACATATTGATGTGTGTGTTAACATATTGATGTGTGTGTTAACATATTGATGTGTGTGTTAACGTATTGATGTGTGTGTTAACGTATTGATGTGTGTGTTAACGTATTGATGTGTGTATTAATGTATTGATGCGTGTTAATGTGTTGATGCGTGTTAATGTATTGATGTGTGTGTTAACGTATTGATGTGTGTTAATGTATTGATGCGTGTTAATGTATTGATGCGTGTTAACGTATTGATGCGTGTTAATGTATTGATGCGTGTTAACGTATTGATGCGTGTTAATGTATTGATGCGTGTTAATGTATTGATGCGTGTGTTAATGTATTGATGCGTGTTAATGTATTGATGTGTGTTACCTGTGTGTACCATCTCAGACACAGCTCTAGCCAGCTCCAGCAGCAGTGTGGTCCCGACAGTAGCTTTAGCGTAGCCTGGACCCCACGCATCCCTCTGAGCCCCCAGTACCACGTATCGATCTACACCATAACATTAACACAAAACCCACTCACTAACACAAACACTGTGCATAGAGATTAAACATTGCTGTTAAAAATGTACAGAGTTCATAGATCGTCTTTTGGAGTGGTCTGTGTGGCTTGGTTGGAAAGAGCACGACGTTAGCAACGCCAGCGTCCTAGGCTTGATTCCTGCTCGAGTCACACACACTAAAATGGATGCACTCGCAAACACAGACACGTACCTGGCTCAGTGAAGCCCTTGATGACTCCAAAGACGTTGTGGATCTCTGTGTCCTGCAACACGCTGTTCACCTCCACTGTGACATCATCACTACTGGCCCCTCCCACGGTGTACTTCACATTGTCCAGTTCGCCTTTAAAACTGAGAGGGGACTCAGGCCCACCTATACGCCTGGGGAGAGATCAAACAGTTAGGTGTGTGTGCGTGTGTGTGTGTGTGTTTTTTTTTGTGTGTGGTCTTACGTTAGTATCTTGGCAGCAGTGGCAGCAGTAATGCTTTGGGCCAGTACAGTGGGCAGACCAGAGGACTGGGTGGGAGGAAACTGGGTGTGGTTGAAGGAGGGGAACCCTGGAGTATAGGGGTCTCCAGAACCTAGATGGACCTACAGGAGAACATCACAGAACATTCAGAGAATGAGAGACATAATGTCAGATAGAACATCAACATAGAACTTTACTGCTGCTCTTTAAATTATTTGCCATTTTTACTTATCACTTTTTTTTTTCTTCTTAAAACTGCATTGTTGGTTAAGGGCTTGTAAGTAAGCATTTCACTGTAAGGTCTACACCTGTTGTATTCGGCGCATGTGGCAAATAACATTTGATTTGATTTGAAATGGCTGCAGTTGAAGCAGCATCTCTGAATCAGGCTCTGTAAGATTCACCTTGCAGTGGTGTGCGGTGTGAGTGTGTATGTACTCACATGTCCGTATAGTTCAGTACTTGGTTGTAACTTGTAGTCTTTAGGGTCGAGGAAAATCAACACAGCAGATACTCCCAACGCTGCTACATTAGCCACCTGGAACACAAACACGCAGGAGTACACTGAAATTCACTTTCTTACTCACACACACACACACACACACACACACACACACACACACACACACACCTGCTGTGCCAGGCTGATCTGTCCTGTAGCTCTCAGTAGAATCACGGTGCCGTTCAGCTCAACCTTCAGACTCTGTAGCAGCACCAAGTCCTCCTGTCTCCCATAGTTACCATACACTGCCTTGCCCTGCAGACAGACACACAAAACAATTCCACCTTGTGAGATTCAGGCAACAACTGTGATTGCAAACATCCAATGTGGCAGAAAATATGTTGCAAACATGACACTTTCCAAGCATTTAACCCTAACAGATTCTTTTGGCTCCGATTTCACACTATAAAATATTGGCCCAAAATATCAAAAAATATGATCAGTCAATATAATTAATTGTGGACATCTGATTGGCTGACCTGAGCTTTTCCTGTGGCGCTATAGGCCAGATAGCCCTTAGGCTGGCACAGCTCTTCTTGGCCAATCAGAACACGGTTTGGCTTCTCACTGTGGGGAAGGGGATTGGGGAGGAGAACGTTACAAGCAAAGTGGAATTACAGTGCATTCAGACCCCTTGACTTTTTCCACATTTTGTTACGTTACAGCCTTATTCTAAAATATATATATTTTTTAACTTTCTCATCAATCTACACACAATACCCTATAATGACAAAGCGAAAACAGGTTTTTAGATATTTAAACTGAAATATCTTATTTACATAAGTATTCAGACCCTTTTCTATGAGACTCGAAATGGAGCTCTGGTGCATCCTGTTCCCATTGACCATCCTTGAGATGTTTCTACAACTTGATTGGAGTCCACCTGTGGTAAATTCAATTGATTGGACATGATTTGGAAAGGCACACACCTGTCTAGATAAGGTCCCACAGTTGACAGTGCATGTCAGAGCAAAAACCAAGCCATGAGGTCGAAGGAATTGTCCGTAGAGCTCCGAGACAGGATTGTGCTGAGGCACAGATCTGGGGAAGGGTACCAAAAAATGACTGCAGCATTGAAGGTCCCCAAGAACAGTGGCCTCCATCATTCTTAAATGGAAGAAGTTTGGAACCATCAAAGACTCTTCCTAGAGCTGGCCGCCCGGGCCAAACTGAGCAATCCGGGCCTTGGTCAGGGAGGTGACCAAGAACCCGATGGTCATTGACAGAGCTCCAGAGTTCCTCTGTGGAGATGGGAGAACCTTCCAGAAGGGCAACCATCTCTGCAGCACTCCACCAATCAGGCCTTTATGGTAGAGTGGCCAGATGGAAGCCACTTCTCAGTAAAAGGCACATGACAGCCCGCTTGGAGTTTGCCAAAAGGCACCTAAAGGACTCTCAGACCATGAGAAACAAGATTATCTGGTCTGATGAAACCAAGATTGAACTCTTTGGCCCGAATGCCAAGTGTCACGTCTGGAGGAAACCTGGCACCATCCCTACGGTGAAGCATGGCGATGGCAGTATCATGCTGTGGGGATGTTTTTCAGCAGCAGGGACTTCGAGCCTAGTCAGGATCGAGGGAAAGATGAACGGAGCAAGGTACAGAGAGATCCTTGATGAAAACCTGCTCCAGAGCACTCAGAACCTCACACTGGGGCGAAGGTTCCCCTTCCAACAGGACAACGACACTAAGCACACAGCCAAGACAATGTAGGAGTGCCTTCGGGACAAGTCTCTGAATGTCCTTGAGTGGCCCAGCCAGAGCCCGGACTTGAACCCGATCGAACATCTCTGGAAAGACCTGAAAATAGCTGTGCAGCGTCGCTCGCAATCCAACCTGACAGAGCTTGAGAGGATCTGCAGAGAAGAATGGGAGAAACTCCCCAAATACAGGTGTGCCAAGCTTGTAGCGTCATACCCAAGAAGACTCGAGGCTGTATTCACTGCCAAAGGTGCTTCAACAAAGTACTGAGTAAAGTTTCTGAATACTTATGTAAATGTGATATTTCCGTTTTTTATTTGTAATACATTTGCAAAAATTTATAAAAACCTGTTTTTGCTTTGTCATTATGGGCTATTGTTTGTAGATTGATGAGGGAAAAAATACAATTTAATCCATTTTAGAATAAGCCTGTAACGTAACAAAATGTGTAAAAAGTCAAGGGGTCTGAATACTTTCCAAATGCACTGTATGTGTGTGTACCTGTTGGGTGTCTGTAGTTGGACATAGTGTACATCAGTCCAGGGCTCCATCTCCAGACTCTTAAAGCTGTCAAACACATGATTTCCCAGAAGGCCGTCTCCACTGCTCCCTGCCTCGTGATCTGGCTGTTCAACATCACTGCAGAGAGAGAGGGATCATTAGTCTTTTCAGGTATTTGTGTGTGTAGGGCTGTGACGGTCATGTAATTTTGTCAGCTGGAAATTGTCATGCAAATGACTGTCGGTGTCACAGTAATTGACCATTAACATATTTGTTTTTAGCATCACCGGGCCTCCATGCATACAAGCCGCTGATGCGCGCCTTTGGAACACCTTTTTAAAAAGTTTAATAAATCAATTTAATATAGACCCCTTTCTGTGTTTGCAAACGTTGCTGCACGAGGGTGATGCGCACAAGTTGGTGGCAGAACACGGGGGAGTTCTTATAGAACGCCAGAAAAAAAGCCTCTATTTACATGTTGCTTATGAGTGCATTTCACACTACTTTTGGATTATAATTGGATTTTAAGGCTTGCATGAATGTTTTGCTTAATACAATGTTTGTGTCATCGCAAATCAACTGAATTATACTTTTAAAACACTTAAACGTCAACCAGTTCAACCAGATGCCGATGGCTTTCTTAATGCAGCCAAAAGTCGCGGGCATTTGTGAGTGACGTCAGTATGTTGTGTACTGAAAATGGACCTATAGCCTACACAAGGGGTACTCAACTCTTACCCTACGAGGTCCGGAGCCTGCTGGTTTTCTGTTCTACCTGATAATTAATTGCACACACCTGGTGTCCCAGGTCTAAATCAGTCCCTGAATAGAGGGGAACAATGAAAAAACACAGTGGAACTGGCTTGGAGGTCCAGAGTTGAGTTTGAGGGCCTACACCATCACTAGGGATGGGCAATATGGCCAAAATATCATATCACAGTATTTTTCAAATTTTGTATAGTATGACGGTATTTTATGTTTTTGAATAATAAAAGTTCTACATTTGCTTTATAAGTAGTGCGTGACCCTAGAGTGGCGTCACATACATTCTAAGTGATTCCGATGGGTCTTACATTCTAAGTGATTCCGATGGGTCTTACATTCTAAGTGATTCCGATGGGTCTTACATTCTAAGTGATTCCGATGGGTCTTACATTCTAAGTGATTCCGATGGGTCTTACATTCTAAGTGATTCCGATGGGTCTTACATTCTAAGTGATTCCGATGGGTCTTACATTCTAAGTGATTCCGATGGGTCTTACATTCTAAGTGATTCCGATGGGTCTTACATTCTAAGTGATTCCGATGGGTCTTACATTCTAAGTGATTCCGATGGGTCTTACATTCTAAGTGATTCCGATGGGTCTTACATTCTAAGTGATTCCGATGGGTCTTACATTCTAAGTGATTCCGATTGGTCTTACATTCTAAGTGATTCCGAAGGGTCTTTCTCCATTCTGAATGTTTTATACTGTTCAATTTAACTTAAACCAACATTTTCTGTATTTTCACCAATTTCTGCATTTCTTGCACTCATTTGATATAATTTCCACACTGCCATGTTGGGCTGCGCAATACAGGCAAACAATCTAGGCCTTACTTTTTTCAAAATGTTGCAATTGTGATTTGACTTGCAATTTAGAACAAAACACTTGGGTGAACTGTTGGAATTATGGAAATAGAGTTAGAATATAATATAGTTAGTTAGAATATAATAGTGGGCACTTTGAATACATTGTTGTTTGACATGACAACAAATGAAAATGCCAAAGAGGAGTTATTGTGACAGGGTAGGAACCAAAGTGTTGATCAGTGTTTCCTAGGGGACTCTATAATCTTTCTCTTAGCTACATTATGTAGCTAACATATTCATTCTTCGCCTATTCCTCTTTGATTTAGAAGATACTGTTGCACGAACAAAATGCTGATTTAGGCCTACACCATTACTGGTATCAGGCTGTATAGCTAGCTACATTTACTCTGACTCTGTACATTTATTAGCTAGCTAGCTAACTAACGTTAGCTATTAGCATTAGGGACTAACGCGATTTAGCCACAACTTGCTAAGACCAACAAACTTTTGGCAGATGTAAGAAACACAAACGAATAGTGTAATTATAGAACGCTTGTGGATTTATATTAATAAGAAGCAAAGTGGAAACAGCATCATTGTCATCAACAATTCTGCATTGACCATGTAGACTGAACGCAAGTGTCTACTGGTCGAGGAACAACAAATGCCCTCCTTGAGTGACAGGGGGCGGGACTAGGTCCCCCATCTATCCTCAGAGTTCGTACTGCTTGGTGACCTAAACTGGGATATGCTTAACACCCCGGCCAACCTACAATCTAAACTAATGGCCTTCAATCTTACACAAATCATCAACTAACCTACCAGGTACAACCCTAAATCTGTAAACATGGGCACCCTCATAAATATCATCCTGACAAATTCACCCTCTAAATACACCTTCGCTGTCTTCAACCAGGATCTCAGCGATCACTGCCTTATTGCCTGCGTCCGTAATGGGTCCGCGGTCAAACGACCACCCCTCATCACTGTCAAATGCTCACTAAAACACTTTAGCGAGAAGGCCTTTCTAATTGACCTGGCCCGGGTATCCTGGATGGATATTGACCTCATTCCGTCAGTAGAGGATGCCTGGTTGTTCTTTAAAAGTGCTTTCCTCTCAATCTTAAATAAGCCTGCCCCATTCAAAAAATTCAGAACTAAGAACAGATATAGCCCTGGTTCTCCTCAGACTTGACTGCCCTTGACCAGCACAAAAACATCCTCTGGCGTACTGCATTAGCATCGAACAGCCCCCGCGATATGCAACTTTTCAGGGAAGTCAGGAACCAATATACACAATCAGTTAGGAAAGCAAAGGCTAGCTTTTTCAAACAGAAATGTGCATCCTGTAGCACTAACTCCAAAAAGTTTTGGGACACTGTAAAGTCCATGGAGAATAAGAGCACCTCCTCCCAACTGCCCACTGCACTGAGGCTAGGAAACACTGTCACCACCGATTAATCTACAATTATCGAGAATGTCAACAAGCATTTTTCTACGGCTGGCCATGCTTTCCACCTGGCTACCACTACCCCGACCACCAGCTCTGTACCCCCCGCTGCAACTTGCCCATGCCCCCCCCCCCCCCCCTTTCTTTCTAAAATTAGCCGCCGAAATTGTTGCAACCCCTATTACTAGCCTGTTCAACCTCTTTCGTAACGTCTGAGATCCCCAGAGTTTGGAAAGCTGCCGCGGTCATCCCCCTCTTCAAAGGGGGTGACACTCTAGATCCAAACTGTTACAGACCTATATCCATCCTGCCCTGCCTTTCGAAAGTATTTGAAAGCCAAGTTAACAAACAGATCACCGACCATTTCGAATCCCACCGTACCTTCTCCGCTATGCAATCCGGTTTCCGAGCTAGTCATGGGTGCACTTCAGCCATGCTCAAGGTCCTAAACGATATCATAACCGCGATCGATAAAAGACAGTACTGCGCAGCCGTCTTCATCGACCTGGCCAAGGCTTTCGACTCTGTCAACCACTGCATTCTTATTGGCAGACTAAATAGCCTTGGTTTCTCAAATGACTGCCTCGCCTGGTTCACCAACTACTTCTCAGATAGAGTTCAATGTGTCAAATCGGAGGGCCTGTTGTCTGGACCTCTGGCAGTCTCTATGGGGGTGCCACAGGGTTCAATTCTCGGGCCGACTCTATTCTCTGTGTATATCAATGATGTCGCTCTTGCTGCTGGTGACGCTCGGATCCACCTCTCTGCGGACGACACCATTTTGTATATATCTGGCCCTTCATTGGAGACTGTGTTAACAAACCTCCAAACGAGCTTCAACGCCATACAACACTCCTTCCGTAGCCTCCAACTGCTCTTAAACACTAGTAACACTAAATGCATGCTCTTCAACCGAACGCTGCTTGCACCCGCCCACCCGACTAGAATCACTACTCTCGGCGGTTCTGACCTAGAGTATGTGGACAACTACAAATACCTAGGTGTCTGGTTAGACTGTAAACTCTCCTTCCAGACTCACATTAAGCATCTCCAATCAAAAGTTAGATCTAGAATCGTCTTCCTATTTCGCAACAAAGCCTCCTTCACTCATGATGCCAAACATGCCCTCGTAAAACTGACTATCCTAACGATCCTTGACTTCGGCGATGTCATTTACAAAATAGCCTCCAACACTCTACTTTTGTTTTGTCACCAAAGCCCCATATACTACCCACCATTGTGACCTGTACACTCTTGTTGGCTGGCCCTCACTACATATTCGTTGCCAAACCCACTGGCTCCAGGTCATCTATAAAATCACTGCTAGGCAAATCCCTGTCTTATCTTAGCTCACTGGTCACCATAGCAACACCCACCCGTAGTCTGCGCTCCAGCAGGTATATCTCACTGGTCATCCCCAAAGCCAACACCTCCTTTGGCCGCCATTCCTTCCAGTTCTCTGCTGCCAATGACTGGAACGAACTGCAAAAATCTCTGAAGCTGGAGACTCTTATCTCCCTCACTAACTTTAAGCATCAGTTGTCAGAGCAGCTTACCGATCACTGCACCTGTACACAGCCATTGTGAAATTAGCCCACCCAACTACCTCATCCCCATATTGTTATTTATTTTGCTAATTTGCACCCCAGTATCTCTATTTGCACATCATCTTTTGCACATCTATCATTCCAGTGTTAATACGAAAGTGTAACTATTTTGCACTGTGGCCTATTTATTGCCTTACCTCCATACCTTACTACATTTACACACACTGTATATATATTTTCTGTTGTATATTTGACTTTATGTTTTGTTTACCCCATATGTAACTCTGTGTTGTTGTTTTTAATCGCACTGCTTTGCTTTATCTTGGCCAGGTCGCAGTTGTAAATGAGAACTTGTTCTCAACTGGCTTACCTGGTTAAATAAAGGTGAAATAAAAAATTAATAAATAAAAAGGTCTGTGTGGAAAGCGACAGAGAGATGATTCAAGTAGCAGAGTAAACTATAAAAATGGACGTTACACATGGCTTATCACATTTAACAAATGAAACATTCAAATACCGTTATAGAAGGTAAAGTAAAAACCCAAACTGGTCTGTGCATCAATACCGGTATATCATAAAATACGGTATACTGCCCAGCCCTAACCATCACAATAAATCCATGAGTTATTTAGTTGTGATAGGCCTGTAAACCTGGGAATGTCTTAGAAATCAAAATGTAAGGGTTGCATGATGCAACTCCATATTAATGATTTGGAAAAGTCGCAAAATAGGCATGCGCTCTGATCCTTTCCACGGAGATAGAGAGACAAGTGCATTGTTGCTCTGCTTGTGTGGCAAGCAAGTTCGAGGATATCTAATCAATGGAAGATGGAATTAAAATGACAGAATTAAAAGTGAAATGAGAAAGAAAGGCTACAATGACCAAAAGCCAACAGCTAGGCTGCTATTTATAATCTGAATGGAGTTGTTGTTATGTGTAGGCTAACTGTAGGACGGTGAGAAGAGGAGTAACATTATGGCTAGCCTCAATTAGCTAGCTTCTCTCAGTTTGATGCAGTCAAGACAGGTAATATGCAATCGGATGGGATGATAAATAAATAGCAAGAAGTTAGTCTAGCGCGAGATAACAGTGGTTGCGGTCTCTCCCTCCGTGCACGTCCGAGCCTCCTGTGTCTTACACAAACCACACGGCCTCCGCTCCCTAATGGGCTACAGCTGCTCGCTCTCTCTCCCTTTCTCCATGGCTCCGGTTTAAGAAAGTAGCAAAACAATAGGCTTTTCTGCTGCTTCCCTCACTCGGATCGGTTGTCCTTCAGGTCCTTTCGGGACAGGTTAAAAAAATGAATTTATTCATATTGGGTCCAGGGTTTCCCGTGTCTATTTCGGAATGGGAGCTCTAACTCCCATCACCATTTGTCTTCAATATTCAGATTCATTCAAATTCAATCATCAAGTGTTTAGAGAGTGATTAGAGGGACAATAGAGCGCTGAGTACCAGGCCATTAGCGAGGGCCATTTGCAAGTTTGATAGCGACATTCATTTGGCAGAATTGGATAGGATTACCATGATCAACAGTCACAGTGAATTTGACTGCAGTCATGACTGGTGAATGCCACTGTGGTGGTAATACGGTCAACTGCCCTATGTGTAAGTACCTCAGTCTGCTGTTGAAGGCGTCAGGAGTCAGTCTCTGTGCCAGCAAGCTGGTGATGTCATTCCAGGATAGAGAGGATTCTACTACAGCCTCTTCAGCCACGCCCACTTCCTGCTCAGAATCACAAATGATCGGCTCCTGGCGGGGAGAGCGGTGGCTCACATAGCCAATCAGATAACCTGAAACAGAGAAACGGAAGCAGGGATTGGTTATAGAGAGTGAAACAAGAGAGAGTGGATGAATTAGTTTTGCGTCGCCAGGTGCCCCAGGTGGCTGGAGATTTCACTGTTGGACCAATGGAAGGGTCTAAAATGTGTAAACTGCACCAGGTGATGCAAAACGAACTCGCCCAGGGAGAGAGGGTGAGTGTGACAAATAAAAAAAAAAAAAGAGTGTGAGGAAGAGTATGTACCAATGATGAAGATGAAGAGGGTTCCGAGAGCCAGGTAACACACGTTGCGGTAGTTTTGCTGGGGGCGGGGCCTGTATGAGGGAGAGCCCCCTGGTTGGCCCGCCTGCTCAGAGGGGGTGTGGTCATCTACATCATCAGACAGCTTCACCTCCACATGGCTCCCTCCATCTCTCTCTTCGTACGACTGCAGAGTGAAGCGGCTGTACCGCTCACTGTTAAACTGCACACACACACACAGAGACTCACACACTTGACTTACACTGAACAAAAACAAACGCAATATGCAACAATTTCAAAGATTTGACTGTGTTACAGTTCATACACTGCTCAAAAAAATAAAGGGAACACTAAAATAACACATCCTAGATCTGAATGAATGAAATAATCTTATTAAATACTTTTTTCTTTACATAGTTGAATGTGCTGACAACAAAATCACACATCTCCTCCCAGACCTGGACTAAAGCATCCGCCAACTCCTGGACAGTCTGTGGTGCAATGTGGCGTTGGTGGATGGAGCGAGACATGATGTCCCAGATGTGCTCAATTGGATTCAGGTCTGGGGAATGGGCGGGCCAGTCTATAGCATCAATGCCTTCCTCTTGCAGGAACTGCTGACACACTCCAGCCACATAAGGTCTAGCATTGTCTTGCATTAGGAGGAACCCAGGGCCAACCGCACCAGCATATGGTCTCACAAGGGGTCTGAGAATCTCATCTTGGTACCTAATGGCAGTCAGGCTACCTCTGGCGAGACTGACCCACCGCCAAACCGGTCATGCTGGAGGATGTTGCAGGCAGCAGAACGTTCTCCATGGCGTCTCCAGACTCTGTCACGTCTGTCACGTGCTCAGTGTGAACCTGCTTTCATCTGTGAAGAGCACAGGGTGCCAGTGGCGAATTTGCCAATCTTGGTGTTCTCTGGCAAATGCCAAACGTCCTGCACGGTGTTGGGCTGTAAGCACAACCCCCACCTGTGGACGTCAGGCCCTCATACCACCCTCATGGAGTCTGTTTCTGACCGTTTGAGCAGACACATGCACATTTGTGGCCTGCTGGAGGTCATTTTGCAGGGCTCTGGCAGTGCTCCCCCTGCTCCTCCTTGCACAAAGGCGGAGGTAGCAGTCCTGCTACTGGGTTGTTGCCCTCCTACGGCCTCCTCCATGTCTCCTGATGTACTGGCCTGTCTCCTGGTAGTGCCTCCATGCTCTGGACACTACGCTGACAGAAACAGCAAACCTTCTTGCCACAGCTCGCATTGATGTGCCATCCTGGATGAGCTGCACTACCTGAGCTACTTGTGTGGGTTGTAGACTCCGTCTCATGCTACCACTAGAGTGAAAGCACCGCCAGCATTCAAAAGTGACCAAAACATCAGCCAGGAAGAATAGGAACTGAGAAGAGGTCTGTGGTCACCACCTGCAAAACCAGTCCTTTATTGGGGGTGTCTTGCTAATTGCCTATAATTTCCACCTGTTGTCTATTCCATTTGCACAACAGCATGTGAAATGTATTGTCAATCAGTGTTGCTTCCTAAGTGGACAGTTTGATTTCACAGAAGTGTGATTGACTTGGAGTTACATTGTGTTGTTTAAGTGTTCCCTTTCTTTTTTTGAGCAGTGTATAAGGAAATCAGTCAATTTAAATAAATAAATTAGGCCCTAATCTATGGATTTCACATGACTGGGAATACCGATATGCATCTGTTGGTAATAGATACCTTTAAAAAAGGGGGCGTGGATCAGAAAACCTATCAGTACCTGGTGTGACCACCATTTGCCTCATGCAGCGCAACACATCTCCTTCACATAGAGTTGATCAGGCTGTTGATTGTGGCCTATGGAATGTTGTCCCACTCCTCTTCAATGGTTGTACGAAGCTGCTGGATATTGGTGGGAACTGGAACATGCTGTCGTACACGTTGACCCAGAGCATCCAAACATGCTCAATGGGTGACATGTCTGATGAGTATGCAGGCCATGGAAGAACTGGGATATTTTCAGCTTCCAGGAATTGTGTACAGATCCTTGTGACATGGGGCTGTGCATTATCATGCTGAAACATGAGGTGATGGCGGCGGATGAATGGCAAGACAATGGGCTCAGGATCTTATCACGGTATCTCTGTGCATTCAAATTGCCATAGAGAAAATGCAATTGTGTTCGTTGTCCGTAGCTTATGCCTGCTCATACCATAACCCCACAATGGTGCACTCTGTTCACAACGTTGACATCAGCAAACCGCTCTCCCACACGAAGCCATACACGTCTGCAGTTGTGAGGCCAGTTGGAGGTACTGCCAAATTCTCTAAAAAAACGTTGGGAGGCAGCTTATGGTAGAGAAATTAACATTAAATTATCTGGCAACAGCTCTGGTGGACATTCCTGCAGTCAAAAACTTGAAACATCTGTGGCGTTGTGTTGGTTGACAAAACTGCACATTTTAGAGTGGCCTTTTATTGTCCCCAGCACAAGGTGCACCTGTGTAATGATCATGTTGTTTAATCAGCTTCTTGATATGCCACACCTATCAGGTGGATGGATTATCTTGGCAAAGGAGAAATGCTCACTAACAGGGATGTAAACAAATTTGTGCACAACATTTGAGAGAAATAAGCTTTTTGTGCATACGGAACATTTCTGGTATATTTTATTTCAGCTGGGACCAACACTTTACATGTTGCGTTTATATTTTTGTTCAGTATTTGGCTGAATGTGTGTTTTATCTAGCTGTATGTGCGTTTGTATAGGAGGGTGTGAGCCCTGTTGTGCATTAGTGTTCTACGGAACTCATAGTACACATAGGAAAAAAGAAAAGACCCTCACCATTCTGGAAAGTGCCGACCTTGCTTGATTGATAGTTGCTGCCATGATATGATGGTAGCTAGAGAGACAGAAAGATAGAGGGAGGGAGACAGAAAGATAGAGGGAGGGAGACAGAAAGATAGAGGGAGGGAGACAGAAAGATAGAGGGAGGGAGACAGAAAGATAGAGGGAGGGAGACAGAAGATAGAGGGAGGGTAAGAAGGACATAGAGAGAAAGAGAGCGAGAACAGGTTATTCTAAAGTCATTTGAGGTTAAATCCTCATTCCGTTTCTCCCTGAAATGTACACCTCTTCACTCCCCCTCATGGACTTTGTTGGATTGGTTTCCATCATGTTTCTTGTTTCCATCACAATTCAATGTTTTGAACAAAACAGAGCAGCCATTCACTGTACCAGAGCTACAACATCAGGCCCAGGAATGTGTGTTCTGTAAATACACAGGGTTTAGGTGACACACATAAGTGTGTGTTTCAAGCCCAGGTTACATCAGGCAGGAAGTTACAATCAAAGCCACAAACCGACACAGAAATACTTCTGCTTCCAACCGACACCACAAATGACTCAACACAAGAGATTATCACACACAGAGACAGACAGACCTTCCTTCCCGCCTATGATATACCCCATCTCTTGCAAAGACTAAACACTAGCCTGGACCTTGGCCTTCTCTCACATTGGAGCCAAAATACACACAGGAGCCAAAACAGGCTGAATCCCAAATCACCCCCTTCCTCTCGCGCACCACCGCCGCCATATGCACAAGTGTCCCAAAGCTGAGGAAGTGAAAATGATCTAATGTAGGTGCCAAGCCAGCCGGCTCCAGAGCTTAGTGCTATCCCGATGCGCACATTCCACATGCATTTGTTAGTCTGATTTCGAGGCTTGACACATTTAACAAATTAAATACCTCCCAAATTAAACGTTTAACTGATACTGAGGTTTATATCTTGGAAAACAACAGGGGGAATTTGTTAATTTGAATGTCATGCTTGTTTTATTATTTCAAAGTGGAACATGAATTGCATCATTCAAGTCAGGAGTATATCCCAAAGTTGATGGGTTTATTGATCCCCTAGCAACTCTATGGAAGTCACCCTCGGAGTTTCGTCAGCAACACGTGACAACGGAAGGCTCCTCCATGTGAGTTGGTAAGGGCGAGGGGGTGGTCTGGGATTCACCGAGCATCACAGCATATAAATAATATGCCATTTAGCAGACGCTTTTATCCAAAGCGACTTACAGTCATGCGTGCATACATTTTTGTGTATGGGTGGTCCCGGGGATCGAACCCACTACCTTGGCGTTACAAGCGCCGTGCTCTACCAGCTGAGCTACAGAGGACCACCAGCATCAAAGGCCATACAGCAAAACAAGATCTGGGGCAAGGCTACGAAACTCATAACCTGAACATCATCTATCTCTAAACCGACTGAGCCGTAGCCAAACTCAGAACCAGGAAATGATCAACCATTTTCACTGCATTTTCCGCATGGTTGGCGAGAGAACACACACAGCCCTCAGAACCAGTTCTACACCGCCCCTCCCACACACACACCATGTGTGAGAATCACAAGTGGGGAATACTGGCTCTAAAGAAGACAGCACACCCCTACTAAACACACACACACACCATCATCATCATCATCATCATCATGTCTTTACGATATTGCATATGGGTGCTAGCAAGCTAACAACACCTCACATCCCCTGAGACTATTTATATTATGCAACAGTGTGCAACTGAAGCCCGCAATTCGGGGCGTTCTCCCTCGAGCACGACATCTTCATGCTTGTGTGACACTTGAATGTGGGTCAATCAGGAAATAAAAGTATTATCTGAGTTTTCGCCCCCGCCTACTTGCTAGCTAGCGGGAGTGACACCGGTAGCCAGTGTCCTTAGCTCTTGAACACCTGCCCTCGCCATCATTAACAGAACTGCAGGAAAACAGTGCCTGATACATGGGAGCGAAGTACACCGTACGGCTAGCTACCTACCGTTGTTATCCGCGGCTGGCATCCAACGTTAGTGCATTAACGCACCTACTGTACTGGAGCGCCCCCGCCTCCTGCCTGTCCTAACTTAAAAATGGACCAATATAAGTATAAAGAGGGGTTCCTGCAGACGCAGAAATTCCCACATGCAGGAACACCCCGAATTGCAGGCCGCAATCTGGCAGATTTTAGTTCAAAGATAAATCTGCCAGATGTCCTTAGAAAGACCTCTACACCAATTTAGGACCAAACTACAGTTTAACGTTGCATATTGCAATACTGTTTTCGGAGTTAGCTAGCTAAAAGAAGCAGTTTGACATCTAGCTATGGCAACGAAGTCGTACGGACTGCCAGGCCCTGTTCACATGGCTACAGCGACCATACGCCGCTTTTATGGCTAGCT